AAAAGAAAAGATAGATTCCAGGAAATGCAGGGGAGCAGACTCGACATTGAACCCAGGGAAGTCGTGGGAAGAATGAAAAATCTTCCTGGGATCCCCAAGGTGCTTGCAAAGGTCAGGTAGGCTTTCTGTGGGGTCTGCCGTGGGACCGCTGTGTAGAGGTGGGGCGTTCTTAGGACTGGGCTGAACAGGTGGCTTGTGTCATCTGACCAGCTTAGGGATGTCAGGCCAGATGTGGGGGCCAGAAAATGGAACCAAAGCCACAGAGTTTGCAACCTGTGGGGAGGAGCTGAGCAGTCTTTGGCAACAGAGCTTTCGATGTCAAGAGCTCCAAGAGATGGACAAGGGTAAAGATAAGTTCATGAGCTAGTTTCCTCATTGATTTAACAAACTCTCCCTGAGCTGGAGTCAGATGTCAGGCACTGCTCTAAACCCTGAAGTTCTGTGCTGAACAAGATATAGTCCCTGCCCTCGGGGAAGTTATGTTGTTGTGGGGAGTAAAGACAAAAAGATGCTGTGGATGGTGGTTAATACCATGAAGAAAATATGCAGATTGGTGGGTCAGAGAGTGCCTAGTAAGGGGGGGGGCACTTTAAAAATGGGCAGAAAAGGCTACTTTGGGAGTAGGAAACATGAGCTGAGGCTTAAATGATGAGAAGAAGCAGTCAGGGGATGATCTAGCATTTCATAGGAAATGCAAAGGCCCTGGGGCTGGAATGAACTTGGCATGTCAAGGAATATTTTTAAGGCCAGAAGGGCTTGGATGAAGGAGTCAAAGCAGAAGGGGCCACTTTGTATCTGCCCTGAAGGTCAGGAAGGAGTTTAAATTTCATCCTATAAGTAATGAGATTCCACATGAGGGTTTAAGCAGAGAGATGGATTGATCTGAGTTCTGAGAACATCCTAACACTGCAGGCAGGCAGTTTTCTAGAACAAACAAGAACAAATGAATCTTGTTTTCTTGGGGGTTGGAGAGAAGGCAGGTAGGGACATCCTTGATCAGGGACTTGTAACTGTGTGATGAATCTTGATTGCAGAGAGGTGTTTGATAAAGGCTGTCTTAGAGAAGAAGAGATTGGATGATAGTGACTGGATTGATTTATTCCCCCCAAAGTGTTGATCCAGGATTACTGTCAGGCTGTGGGGAGGGTCTCTGGCACTGTCTCCAAGGCTCAGCCCTGGACTCATTCCCTTCAACATTTCTATCTGTAAATTGGCAGAAGACCCAGGAGACATGCTCATCAGACATGCAGCTGACATGAACCTGTCAGGGACAGCTAATGGCACAGATGACAGACTCAGGACTCACCATGATGATCTGCCCCAGGCTGGAGTGATGGAATGAAACCAGCAATAGACCTGATTGCTCTCTGATTGGGGAACAGAGCTCAGCATGAAGCAGGGAGTCCTTGCTGGATAGCTATCCCTGGAAAGGAAGCTGGATGGGGTAAGGGGAGGTCGTGAAGGCAGCTGAACCCACCCGCGTTCCCACACTTTCTAGGTGACAAGGTCCTTGGCCTCAACCAGGCTCATTTTTCCCCATCAGTAAAGTGGGGATGATGCTATCTCTTGCTCACGAGTGTGAAGAAGATTAAATTCAAGCATGTATAGGAATGCATGGCTTCCTGTCTGGCCTGTAGTGGATTTGTGACAGAAGCAAGGGAAGTACGAGTTTGTGGAGACTGGCTCAAGGGAGGGCTGGGAGGTTGGCGGCAGCATTTCAGGGGTGCATAGAGGGCCCACAGCCAGAGTGGACCCTGTATCCTTGGCACTGCGCTGCCCCTGCTGGGAGTGCCAACTTCCTAAGGGAACCCTGCTTGCTGTAATGTGCCAGAGGAGTAAGAACAGGCGTTCATGAGATGCCCTTCAACAGACCAATGGGTAGAGAGGATGTGGTCCATATATACAATGGAATATGATTCAGCCATCAGAAAGGATGAATACCCACCATTTGCATCAACATGGATAGAACTGGAGGGGATTATGCTAAGTGAAGTAAGTCAAGCAGAGAAAGACAATTATCATATGGTTTCACTCATATGTGGAACATAAAGAATAGAGTAGAGAACCATAGGGGAAGGGAGGGAAAACTGAGTGGGAAGAAATCAGAGAGGGAGATAAACCATGAGAGACTCTGGACTCTGGGAAACAAACTGAAGGTTACAGAAGGGAGGGAGCTGGGGAATGGGGTGACAGGGTAAGGGGTATTAAGGAGGGCACGTGTTGGGATGAGTACTGGGTGTTACAGGCAACTAATGAATCGTTGAATGCTACAACAAGAACTTACGATGTACTCTATGTTGGCTGAACTGTTGACTGAACTATGTTGACTGAACAGAATGGAAAGAAAAAAAAAAAAAGAACAGGGGTTCATCCTCAGTGTCTGCCTGTGTCCCAGGTTGGGAAGGGGACACAAGGGTCCTCTTGAGTGCTGAGAAAGGACGGTCTGTGGGTGGTTTTTGATACAGGGACCCCAGGGTCCTGAGGGTCTTTTAAAATCTGCTTTGACTTCTCCTGGAATTGGTACTTGAGAGGATTCAAGTGGTGAGACTTTTTCTGTGTGCATCTATTGTGCAACATTTTTATTAAAAAAAAAAAATTCCGCCAAAAGCAGAGCCAATAGTACATGATGAACCCATGTACTGATCAATCACACAGTTTTAGTGATGGTCAACCCATGGTCACCTTGTTTCATCTATGTCCTCCTCTTCCCTCTACCCTGCTAGATTAAGTTTAAAGCAAATCTTAGACATAATTTTATCTACCTCTAAGAGATAAGGACTCATTTTTTTGTTAATTATAAACCACAATACTGTTATCACAATGTTTTAAAATTGACATAATTGTAGTAGGTCTTCCTAAAAAAAAAAGAAAAAATCTATTGGTGTATAGCTTGCTTTGCAAGTTTTTTTTTTTTTTTTTTTTTTTTTCAAATGTCTGGTTTCTGTAACTCGAGATTCACCTGTTCCCTTTGAGGATGATGATGAAGAGGAAGAAGGGGGATCTCTTTATTCTGATTGTTCGCAGGGACATAGCCATGAGAATGGGTCCTATTTATAGCCGAAGTCTAGACATGGAACAGAGGAAAGGAAGGGAGTGGGAGAGGGCAGAGGGGAGGGGGAAGGGGAAGGGGAAGAGGTGAGAATGGAAGGAACGAGAGAACCAGAGTGGAAGACAGCCCCATGTCCCTGCAGCAATGCCGCCTTCGGGAGCTCCCAGAGGACGCGTGCCAAGCTCAAACCCGGGTTGCCTCCCAAGGTTCTCACCCCATCATCACAATCTTGGTTCAGGTGTCATGCCCAGGCTACAGAGGAGGCCCTGAGGTTCCAGGGTCTGACATGAAATAGGCATTAGTGCCCGATGGAGACCCAGGTCTGCTTGGCTGGAATCTGCTTTCTCCTGGCCCGTCTCTGCTTCTAAGTCTGCCGAGGCCACCTGCGGGGCTGGTGGTCAGTTGGTTAAGTGGAGACATGCTCTTGCCTGTGTTTCCTGAGGGCTCTGGCCACCCAGCTCCTTTCCCAGGTCCCCCTGGACCTCACGAGAACCCAGCAACTAAGGGGGTAATGCCTGGTGCAGCTGGGAGAACCTGGGACTGTCTGCTGTGCCCGCTCTGAGTGGTTGTCAAGTATAGTGACTTTTCCCTGGCTCCGTGTGTGCTCACGTGGGAGTTGTTTTGTACCGGTACGTGTGTGTGCTCATCAAACACATCCACAAGTGTGCGCATCTGTTCTTTTGCACAGGCGAAGCATGTGCTCACACACGAAGAGCATTACAAGGAAGGCACATCCCGGCTGGCAGGATTCATGGTCCCTGCTTGAGGGACTCACTGAGCCCTGGGGAAGAACCGTCAGGGTAGGGGTGTGTTCCTGGCCTCCCCCATGGCTAAGCTCCCCTCGTGGGCACTTTCATCTTCCCCCTGCCCCTTCCTCATTGCCTTCACCACCCTCCCCCAGGGGCACTGAGTGGTTTCCAGAATGCTCTTTGTAGACCACCTCAGCCACTTTTTCTGGGAGCCCATCACATATGGAAAGCAGATGGTTTTAAGCTAGGTTGCCATGATCCTTCTGACCGTGTCAGGGAGGAAGGTGCCCCCTGGCTAAAGACGCCAAGCCGGCATGATTGACATCCTCTCCCCCATCTGGAAAGAGCGAGCAAGCAAGTTCCTAGAGTCCCTGGGCCCCATCGGGCCCATCAGGCTGTTGTTGACCGTCAGGGGTCCAGCTGGGGCCCAGTGTTGGAGGTGTGGGTAGAGGCCAGTGTGGGAGTTCAGGGAGATGCCTGTGAATCCGTGCGGGGACCAAGCGACTCCTGGGCTCCCAAGAGGTGACGCTTAGTCCAGATGCTGTGATCTGGTCAGAGGGCCGTGCCAGCCTGCGGGGAGCCACAGGTCTCCACCCACAGGGACCACAGTGCGGTCTCCAGGATCCAACCAGGCTGACACACCTTGGGTCAGCCTCACCCTATGCCAAAGTGCTTTGCCATCTCTGATATTCTTGTTGACCAGATGAGGAGACAGGGCATGGAGATGCTGAGCGACCTGCCCAGGGTCATAGCGGGGTAATGAGGGAGGCAGGGCACCGGTCCAGCCCTCTACTCCCAGGGCTCAGCCCCACACTCTGGCCTCTGTGCTCAGGGCTGTTGACTCATTCCCAACCCCAACGTGGCTGGTCTTTCATTGCTTCAGGTCCCAGGCACAACTGAACAGGGAGGGAGGGACTGAAATTGAGGCTCAGGTTACTCAGCAAGACAGAGCATCTGGAGAGGACCCCGATGTCCTGATTCCCAGAACTGTGCTCTTGGTGCCAGGCCTGCTGGGGGCCTAGAAATGTCTTGGGAATCTGCTGTTTGCATTTTCCCTCTTGAGAAAGCAGTGGGTTTCTCTTACCTGGAGATGTGTTCTCTCTGCCCCCTTTCCCTGTGGCCTGGGGCCTGCTACAGGGACCCCCCCCCCCAACCCCTGAGTGAGCTGACACTAAAGCAACCTCTTTCTGAACTGTTTGCAGAGCTCTGGAGCTCAGCCATGACAAAGATGAGATATCCCTGTTGGTGGAGCAGGAATTCTTGAGCCTGACCAAAGAGCACCTCATCTTAGTCACAGAGACCTCTGGGGAGCTGGAAGTACCCAGCACTTCCCCTGAGGGGCCCAGACAGCCGGCTCCCTGCCTTCTCGCACCTCCCCCACTGGCAGACAGCAGTGAGTACCCAGGAGCCACCATCCTTGCCGCCGACACCCTTCTGGATCCGAAGGTGGCCATGTCCGTGATCAGCAGCCGGCAGGACTGCGATTCTGTCATGTCTACAGTCACGGGCATTCTGCGTGCTGCCAAGGTCAAGAGTGTTAAGGGGACAGAAGACGGGGGCCACATCCTGGGCGCCTCCAACTCGGAAATCAACAAGCTCCTGGCGCAGTTCCCCCTGAGGTCCACAGAGGCAGCTAAGGCTCCTGACAACAAGGTGGTGCTGGAGGAGACCAGGGCCATCAAAGACTTCCTGCAGAACAGCATGTTCCGTGGCCTGGGACCCAGGGAACCCACAGGGCTGGGCCCCTTCCTCCTGCTGCCTCCCCCACCTCCCGCACCCCCTGACAAGCTTCCTGAGCTCTCTGCTCAGAAGAGGCAGCTCCCAGTGTTTGCCAAGATCTGCTCCAAGCCCGAGGCTGAGTCCACCGTGGAGGGGCACCTCTTAATGGGTGAGTGTGGCTGGGGGCCGGGCTAGTGAGCGGGCCTTCAGGGAGGAACCTGCCAGAGAGCCCGTTAGGGCTGCAGCAGGTGCACTCAGCATCTTTGAACAGAGTTAGACACGGTGGCCTCTCTGATGCACACAGTCCCCAAGTGCAAGTGGTTTTCAGCACCCACAGGCCCCCTCTGCTGGATGCCCATGTATGGGGACACGGCTTGTGGAAACAAACACAGTGGCCTTGATCCCAACACACTTTGAGAGGAGATAGAGGCACATGTGGTAACTGGCTCGTTTTTTGAATCCAGGCATGCAGAATACATTGACGGAGGCGTTTACCCCAGCTGAAACTGCAGCATAGGGACTTTAAGATGGATAGGAGGGAAGTGTGATTAGCAGCTGGGGTCATCTGGCTTCCAATGGAGGCACCTGTTCTGACCACGAGGACTGGTCTTCACTCTGGGGCCAGGATGGGGGGAGGCATGCAAATTCTCCACGTACCATTCAGACTGCCCCAAACTTGTTCTCTGGGACTCCTGAGCCCTAGAACAGTGTCTTTCCTCCTGCTAACTGAGGAGTCCACACCCTTTCCTGAAAGCCCAGCCACCTTCCAAGTTCCCCCCACTCCACCTCCAGGTTCTGCATGTTGTGATCCAGCCACTCAGACTGAATGGTTCCAAGGCAGACTGATGGCAGAGGCATTTGCTTACAGTCTGCAGTCTTTAGGAGAGTTGATCATATGTCAACCAAAAGAAAGATCACCCCCAGGCTGTAAGCATGGATTGATAACTGAGATGCTGTGTTGGGAGGGCCCGAATCCATCTCCTTAAGAGAAGTGGTGCATGTTCTGTGTTATGGAACGTTCTGGGAAGGCCGAGGAATCAGAGCTGGGGACAGCAAGCTGGACTCTGGGTCCTGGGAAGGCCTCTGGGACTCAGAGGGCTTTTTGCGAGTTCTGCATGTGACAGTTGAGCCCTGCCCAGAGCGTGAGACCTTCCCACTACCTCCTTCTCCAGGAAGGACACCTGGATAGCTCTCTGTGGGATGGGGCTGCCGGCTTGGAGGTCGTCCTGTCCCACCCACCCTCCCCACTGTGTGTGTGTGCGTGTGTGTGTGTGTGTGTGTGTGTATCTATGTATAGATATGTGGGCAAAGGTGTGCCAAAGGACGTTTTATAGATGTGGGTGTGTTAGAGAAAAGGTGGGTGTGGGGGCATCTGAGTGTGTCTCGAGTGTATATCTCTGTGTATCCATCTTATGTGCATCGTTGTGCACACATAAGTGAGGCAGAGGAACAACAGGCAAGAATGTGTGTGTGTCTGTCTTCTGTCTGCCTGTGTACACAGACGTTGAAGGAGGGAGCTTTGGAGCTGAGTGAGTGGCAGGCCCGTTCAAGGCAACGGGAGGTGTGTGAGAGACGGCAGGTGTGTGGGTCTCTGGGGAAAAGGCTATTATTAGTGGGTACTGTTATTTCAGCACACTGGCTGGGGGCTAAACTTGGCAACCAGAGAAACTCCTGGAAGAGACTCCAGGGACATGTTTTGCTAAAAATGTCATTTTCTTCTAAATTGGCTCAGGCTAAAGCACTCTTTCCTTCTCTGGGATGGTGCTAGGAGGGCAGGCCCGGTCCTATCCAGACTTAGCCACAAGACCACTGGCCTGCAGTGGGGGCACGAGCTGGAAGGATCCAATCCATTTCCAACAGGTGACACTGGGCACAGGTCCTCTGATCCAGCCGCACCGGGAACAATCTGAGGTCCTTGCTGGGTGTCCGGCGCTCTTTCCCAGACAAGCTCCATGGAGACATGCAAAGCCTCCAGGCTGGGAAAGGAGTGGAGAGCACTACTTCAGCCAGACATTGCCTTAAAAACAAACAAACCCACATAAATACAATTTTGCCCATAGTTAATTTTGATTGAAGAATGAGTCCCTTTGCTCGAAAGGAAATCTAGGTGAAAAAATCACTGCTGTGGAGGGTCCTGGGATGGTCCAGGCAGCATCCCACACCAGGGGACCGCTCTGTCTGTTTGCAGAGGGACCCGGGCCTGGCCCCAATGGCACGCACTGTGTGGACATGCACTTGCTGTGTCTCTCTGATGCCCGCCCCTGCCATGCCATCTCCCTGTACTCCTGGACAGAAGGCCTCCTGGAAGGCCCACTTCCTTCTGGAAACCCTCTGACCCTCACTGAGAGAAGCCGTCTCAAACACCCTCTTCTCCCACTGTGTCCCTCTGTCACCTCACAGTTCCCATCTGCCTTGTCCTGGAGCTATTTCTGGGTCTGTCTCTCTCTCTCCCTCCTTGTTGTGAGCTCCTGCAGGCCTGAGTCTGGCTCTGACTCATCGGTGTCCTCAGTACTCAGGTCAGGGCCTGGTGCTGACAAATGGGCTGGATCACCCGTGAGCACCAAAACAGGAGTAGAGTCCACAGGGGCCGGACCTCAGCTAGGCTACGTGTTCTATAGAAGCTGCGGGTCTTCCCTACGGAGCCAGGAGGCGGGGCTGAAGGCAGCTCCGTATCCCAAGCTTGACACTGTGGATGAATAGAGGGAATGGAGAAACAAAAGAGGGAGAGAAGAGAGAAAAAAGGTAGAAAGGAGAGAAAGCAGAGAAAAGGGGAGGGAGGAGAGAAAGAGAGAGAAGAAAAGAAAGGTAATTGGAAGGACGGAAGTTTGGATGGAAGGAAGAGAGGATGGATGGACAGACGGATCCACGTTTGCACGCATGAGAGGGGAAGGCTGTGATGGGCAGTGGTCCATGAAGGCTTCAGGGAGGAGACTAGGACTGGCTTGGGCTGGAAGGGAGACCCCAGAGCAGTCTGAGCCACAGGTGTGTGATAGGGAGGACCTGTCACTTTGTCCACAAGAAAGTGCTCCCTGCATCCAGCCCGTGGCCTCCCAGACCCATTGACTCAGTTTCCCCTCCCCTGCCATAGAATGGAACTCTGGCATCAAGGAGCCGACCAAGGGTCGAGAGAGCCTCTTTCTCAGTCAGTGGCCCCAGAGCCGGAAGGACACCTGTGGTGAAGAGGGGTGTAGTGACTCAGTGGGCTCCGTGACCACGGCCCTACCAGCCAAGAAGCCTGCGTGGCCGGCCGAGAAGAACCTGCTCTATGAGTTTCTTGGGGCCACCAAAAACCCAAGCATGCAGCTAAAGCTTCGCAGCAAAGTGGAGGTGGACGGGCTGGAGTTGAAACGTAAGCTGGTCCTGCGGGGGGAGGGGCTGGAGAGGAAGGGGATTCCAGACACTCTTTTTTTTTTTTTTTTTTTTTTAAGATTTTATGTATTTACTTGACAGACAGAGATCACAAGTAGGCAGAGAGGCAGGCAGAGAGAGAGGGTGAAGCAGGCTCCCCGCTGAATAGAGAGCCCGGTGCAGGGCTCGATCCCAGGACCCTAGGATCATGACCTGAACCGAAGGCAGAGGCTTTAACCCACTGAGCCACCCCGGCGCCCCTTCCAGACATTCTCATAGCCCCGTGACGGCTCCATCGTCACCAAATGGCTGCCTCATCCAAGGGCCAGTCACTGGCTTTCTCTGGGCGTGTGTTTTTAAGCTCATAGAATGGGGGAATGACTCTCTCCCATGTCCCTTATCAGGACTACCACTGCTAGAGGAATGCAGGTGAATTTCAGGGTCCCAGGGGGTCCACGAGGGGTCAGTTTGAATATAGCCCTGAGCCTGCATACCTCTGTGCCCTCAAGTTGTTCAAGCCAAGGAAAAATCCATGCTTCAGATGATTCCTACACTGAGGTTATCCATGTCCCTCCTTTCTCTCCCTACATCTGTCTCCGTCAAACCTCCTTTCCCCCAAAAGATGTTCTAAGGGGAAGTTGAGGCCCCATCTTTGACTCTAGAAGCCCACAGGACAGAGGGAGAGAATCAAGGATTCGTATCCTAGAAAAACCCAACCAGATCTCATCCATTCAGACTAATTTGGGGTCATACCGTGTCAGTTATATATAACCTGGGTAAGGTCCTCAGTGTGGCCAAGTGTATGTCCTCAGGGGGCTGCTTTAATAATTTGGTTAGTATGAATTCCAACAGCATAGCAATTGTTGGTATAAAACTGGATTTTTGTAAAGCACTGAGAAGCATTTGGTTTTCTACATGGATGAACTATGGCCCTAGCAACCTGGTGTATTGTTTTCTCTTGCTAAACCACCTCCTTTACTAGCAAATAGTGGAGAAAGAGCTCTAAGCCAGACCATGCTGGGATTCGCACCACTTCCAAATTGGCCAGGTGTGTGCGAACGACGTTTTCCCGTAGTTGGAAAGTCCCCCACACTTTGAGGAACTCTCTTGGAGCTTAAAGGACCTGAGAACATGAACCCCGAGGTGGCCCTGGTGCTGCGGGTGTGTTGGCCTCCTCCTTCTGCAGTCCCTGAGACACTCTCCTTCTCCTGTGACTCACAGTTAACCCACCTGTGACGGTGGCCGACAAGAGCAACCTCAAGTACACAGGGAATGTTTTCACCCCACGCTTTGCTACAGCCTTGACCTCAGCCACCCTGAACCAGCCACTCTGGCTCAACCTGAACTACCCGCCTCCTCCTGTGTTCACAAATCACTCTACCTTCCCGCAGTATCAGGTGAGTATCAGGTGAGTGAGAGGGTCCCTCACCTCTGCTTTGCTAGTGTTGGCCTGTGAAGTGCTTGGGCTCCCAGCATGGGATGAGGGCATAGTCCTTGTTTCCCACCCACCTGCTGTGACTTCCTTTAGAGTTGGATGACATGTGTCCTAGAGTACTTGGGACAGTCCCGGCTTTGGTCTTTTTTCCCAACATAATTATTCTAAGCACCCCCTTTTTACTCCCAAGTGTCCTGGGGTGGGTGCCAATCTATATGACCACCTTATTTAAAGGACATCTGAGTAGTCTTAGCTTGTACCAGCTCCCGTGGCCTGGCATGCATTCACAGTCTGGGGCTCCTAGCCTAAAGGGAGTTCGTGACCAGATACAAAGGGACAGTGAAACACAAGGAGCAGGGCTCCTGGAAATTTTACTCATGGAACTTATTTCTGCAGGAAAATGTAGTTTCTTTAGTCTGTCTATTAAGTCAATCTCCCTTAAGAGCTGCCGCCCACTGGACAGAAGGAGGAAAAAAAATCAAATCAATGTCCACTCTGGTTTAAACCTTAGTTCAATTCAGCAGCTTCAACAGTCCCTTTAGGTTGTGCTCAGTTTCTCCAGGAAAGGTGCTCAGCATCTAGGATTTCTTGGTCTACTGGCCTCTGCCCCAGCCTCTCCAGAATGGCACGTAGATGTATGGGCAGGATACACCAACTTGTACACCCAGGTCCCTGGGGGCCTGCTGCCCTGGGCTGGGCCAGGAAAGCATGGAGAGGGCACACAGAGAAGGCAATACACCTGCAAATTATCTCACCCAGTCTCTGTGTCCCTTCTGCTCCCACGACTCCTTGGTTCCCTGTGTCATCTCCTTTACAACAGAGCGGCAAGCCTTGGGCTTAGGTGTCCCCTGTGCAGAAGGCAGATCTTCTCTACCCCACATAGAGCCTCTCTGAGCGGGACCACCAGACTCAGCCCCAGAAGCTTAAACAGAAGCTCACAGAGTTCAGCGAAGTGTCTGTCTTTCTCTCTGATGTTTTGTTTTCAAGCCTTTTTGTTTGTTTGTTTGTTTGCTAAAGGGGACAAGTGCCCACCCCCTCCCCCTGCAGGATGGAGAGCCTTGAGCTGGGGCTGCCATGAAGCATGATGGAGGGGGAGGCTAGCGTGAGTCAGTCCCGTATCTGTCTCGTCCTTTCTTAGGTCTTGAGAGAACTGCCCTGTTCGCACCCTCATCTGTCCCCAGACCTCTTCTCCAGTGCTCCCCATCCTGGCGTTTCTGTGTTTGCTCCTTCACTCTTCAGTCCTTTACTTACCTACTGAGCGACCTGTTCCTTTTTATTTGTGTTTACTTGTTCATTGAAGTAATTTAAAAGCCTTGGCTCCACCCTAACCACCGGTTGGGCGTCGGCCAGGCGAGGGTGTTCACAGATGACTGCGATGCCCAGAGTCCAGCACAGGTCAGGCACAAGTCGCAGACCAGCACTATGACTTCACCCCCAACCCAGGAAGAGAAGAAACCGCATCATTTTATACATTGTAAACTGATTCGCTCTAAGTGCACTCAGGGCTCAGCGTATAAAGCAGGTGCACGCTGGCTCACGTTATAAAGAGTGGCTAAGAGCTCCTTGCTATGTCCATTGTCTCTGGCTTGGCTTTTTGGAGGGAGTGAGATTCGAAAGTATTATCTGAGCATGAAGGTCCTTTGTTTTCAGAGATGCCAGTGTTTGCAGCGCATAGCTGCCTCTAAGGCTTCCTGGCCTCGGCTGAAGAAACTGACCCTCCCAGGTAGCAAGGGAGAACAGGGCCATTTACCTTCTCACAGCTTCTCAGCATTTCATAATGCGGTCTAACTTCAAGACGGCTCATCAAGGGGCCTGACATAATAAAAAGAAGGCAGGTTCTGGAACTGGAAGACTTGGCGTTTAAAGAAACCTGCTGCTTTCAAGCTGTGTGGCTCTGGGCAAGCTCAAGTTAGCTAAATGCTCTGAGCCCTGGTCTCCTCACTTGTGAAATGGGCTCGTAGCAATTAGCAGCAGCGACGGTGGCAGTGGCATGGACTCAGTTGTAAGGTTAATTGAGTCCACGGGTGAGAAAGGGCTTTGAAAAGTCTAAAGTATGATACAGATGTTGGTTTTTATTATTATTCAGCCCTGATTTTCCTAGGAAACAGGGTCAGGGAGCTCCACAGACCTTGAGGAGACAGAGAGGAGAAACAGGGAACGGTCTATCCTCGTCTCTTCTCCTGCGTGGCGTTAGGAATAAAGATGAGGTCCCAAATCCAATTTACTCAGAGCTCCACTGTGGAGCGATGCAGAGCCATGGAAGACTAAGTCCGCAGCACCAAGGAGCTCTGGAGGCTCCTAGGCTGCTTCTTGGCATAAAGGAACTCTGTTCCCAGTTAAGGAAGGAAGGTAGAAAGGGGCCGTGACCTCAAGCAAAGAAGAATGAATGTTTATTTACCCTTGCTTGTGATTTTACAGAATTGCAGAATTGCAATTTGAGCAACTAGAAATGTCCTGAAGGTCAGAGAGTGTGCCGCTTGTACTGATGCATGTGGTCCTGACTCCTGCAAATGCATCCAGGATGGAGCAGGGATGGGCGGCTCTTTGTCTTGCATGGGCCCCAGGAGCAGCCCAGCCCAGGTGTGGGGAGGACGGAGGCCCTGGGAGTTGGCTATGCACGCAGAGCCCAGGCTGACCAGGAGGGAGGTGGGCACATGGAACCTGGTCTCGGAGCTCGCCGTGCACCAGAACAGCTGCAGGGAACCTGCCTGTCTGACTGTCTGACTGCTCAGGTTTAGGCCCTGGTGGGGGGCGCAGACACCAGGCTATGGTCATGGTGGTGAGCAGGGCTGCCCTGGGGCCGCAGGGCTTGCAGAGAAGGGGAGCTGGTGCTCTGGCCGCAGGTAAAGGGGCTGGTGGCAGTGGGAGCAGCCAGACCACGGCCTGTGTCAGTCACCTGGGAGCAGAGAGCCAGGGCAGGCTCTGGAGGTTGTGTATACTCGGGGACCTGGACGATGGGCCCCATGTCAGCCCATGGGTGCTGAAGAAGTCATCAAGGACACAGTGTCGGCCATCAACACTTTGATAATTGGCACAGGCTGGCCCAGAATGGGGGCACCATCTTGGGGTTTGGAATCTTCTGGAAAGACATACTGGCCTGAAGACTGCTTTGAGCCGCGTCTTCGGAGGTAACTCTGAATTGTCAGGTAGAGGCAGTCTGAGCCTGGAGGGACTATGATCTGACCCCACCCACTGTAGCCAACTCTGTGTGTGTGTGTGTGTGTGTGTGTGTGTGTGTGTGTGTGTGTACACATGGGCGCCCAGGGCCGCCCCAGATGGAGTTCTGAATAAAGGTTCTACTTCCCATTCGGCTGAACTGGCCCGACCGCCTCTTCAAGGTGGGGGAGCAGTGAGCGATGCTGAAAATACCGAACATTCACAGAACCCTTGCTATGCGCTGGGCACGGTTCTAAGCTGTTGGAGGCACTAACTCATTTATCTTCCTGCCGGTCCTTGCCATAAGGAGCAGACACGGGTGAATGTGTGGGTGTGCAGACACACAGCTGCAGAGACCCAGCCTAATACTCCTGAAACACACAGCGGCGGACACAAGTGGAAGCACCCATGTCGACATGCCGAAACAAACATGGAGGCAAACCAGCACACACACACACGCAGAGGCTCATCGATGCCTCATGTCTTGGGGCAGGACTGCAGTCTTGGGAAAGGCACTTAGAAAAAGGGTATAGATAACAACAGAGATAATTTGGCTACCTTCACAGGCTCTATCTGTTTGAATACATGTAATTTTATGAACAAGCGAAAAGAGGCTCAGAGAAGTGAAGTGACTTTCCCAAGGTTACACAGCTACCAAGGGGGCGGATCTGGGATTCAAGAGACCATCAGATCCCTCTCCCCTTAAACACTCCCCTGAAAGGCTATGAAGCCTGCTCAGCAGGGGCTTCCTGTGTGGTGTGAGCTGTGCCTGCTCAGTCTGGTGGCTGGACAGACGATGGAAGGGTCTGGCTAGCAGTGCGGTGGGATGGACTCGAGCAGGCTGGCAATCCAGGCATTGTGAGCGGGAAGCTGGGCCAAGTGGCTGCTGCTCTCTGGTGGGGAGCCCTTTGCCCCCACTGCGCTGAGCCTCCCCCTTCTCCCCGCAGGGCCTATACCCGCAGCGAGCAGCCAGGATGCCCTATCAGCAGACCCTGCATCCCCAAATGGGCTGTTACTCCCGACAGGTGAGTACACAACCTCCTCACCTCTGTTCCAGTGCCATGAAGGTCAGAAGGACATCTGTTTCCTCATCTTGGTCCAGCAGGTCACTAGTCAGATTTTCTGGCCTGCCCTTGGCCCCAGAGAATAGACACGAAGGCCAGCATGCACTTGGAATCAAACCTGTGTCCCTAGGTGCTAGATGCTGGTGCTTCCATGGCCCTCACTGCATCCCAGCCCTTCTCCAAGGGCTTTATCTGCATAAACTTCACAGCCACCCTGTGGAATAGGTTAGAGATGAAGAAACTGAGGCACAGAGAGATTAAGTAACGTGTGCAAGGTCATAAAGTTAACATACTAGTTAGCTTTTGCTGTGGCGATAGACAGCCTCAATATCCCAGAGACTTTCAACAATAAATACTTATTTTTCCTTCACAGGTCTGTGGGTTGGTTGAGCTGGGCTGGGATTGGGTTCAAGCCCATTTCACGGGTCTCCCTTTGGGGACCATGCTGAAGATAGAGTAGCTTTTGCTCCTGCCTCGGGTGGGCGACAGGAGAGCGGGAGAGGTGATCAGCAACACCCACTGCTTCTGGGAGCATCACCTTGGAGCTAGCACATGGCAGCGTGCACCTGCCTTCTGCTGGACAAAGAAAACCACATGGTTTTGCCCAGCATCGGTGGGGCCGAGGACTCCTCTCCCTCTGGGTCAGTTTGTTAGTTAAAATAGAAGACATCCAGTTAAATGGTGAATAAAGTTTTGGTATAAGGAAGCCCCCAACATTGTATGGGTCCTTGTTATATGAAAAAAATGATTGCTGTTTATCTAAAATTCACACCTAACTGGATGTCTTTTTTGTTTGTTTGTTTGCTAAATCTGGCACCCCCCACTTCCACGGGTAAGCCAGGAGAGGATATCCGCTTGAAAATTACACGAGGACAGAATCGGGGTCTGACCTCGGGCAGCCTAACTTCAGAGTCCATGCTGCCAACGACCGTGGCTTGTTGCCTCTTGGACACACATACACAAAAACACAGAATCAGAATAAAGCCGCAGAGACAGACACACACAGATACAGAGACACAAAGGAAGACGTAGGTCTATGCCTGCTGCTAAGCGGCACACACGTGTATTCAGAGACAGTGAAAGTCTTGGGGCAGATATGGGGGTGTGAGGGGAGAGGCTGACACTGCACTGCGTGTCCAGGCCGGTCTTGCCCCCGCTCACACACAGGTAGACAGAAGCCACGCTCAGACTCACACCCCTACGCCTCTTTTCTCCCCTCAGGGAGCAAACTGTACCTCTGACCTGAAGTATGTTGGAATGTTCCAGAGGGTAGAGAAGAGCCCACAGATACAGGTTACTTTATTAAGTGAGCCAGAGCTACTTTTCTAACAGTAGGGGCTGTGTGGCGTCAAGAAAAATAGAGACGAGAGACAGCCTGGCTCCCAGGGTCTCCCCAGTTACTCCCATTCCACAAACAACAATACGTCCCCTTAGCTCCAGAGGGAGCATGTTGAGACAACCTTACATTTGTGCGTATATCTGAAAAAGTAATATAAGAACATGGTCCAAAGTTAAAAAATAAAAAAAAAGTCTCAGAGGCAGCTGCTGTTGCTGGTTCCTTCAGGACCCTTCCAGGGACATCTCTTTACACCAACCTTTTGTACAGATGTGGCTTTCTGGGCACGCTATTCTGTCATTGCTTTTGCCAGCAAAATATATCCCGGACATGGTTCCAGAGGGGCATTTTTTATGGTGTTTACCAGTTCCACGGAGTTAAGGACACATCCCTCCAGAAGGCTTGTGTGAGCTCCAGGACCTGCTTCTCTTTCTTGTCAATCCCCTCCCAGGCCCGGACCTCCGCCAGCCCCCCATTTTCTGCCATTTCTGCGTCTGTCCTGGGAGGTGCCTTCCTGGGTTCTGTCTGTGAGGTCTTGGCTCTTTCGGACCTTTAGCTCGTCATCTTGGGGTTTGGGAGCCCACATCCAGCATCACTAGGTCCTATCTGTCCCCTGGGGAGACATGAGGAGGGCCCAGAGGGAGGGGCTTGGGCTTTTGAAGGGAACAGGTGTCGAGGTGCGGTTCAGGGCACGGGTACCAGTCTCATGCCTTGGGGGTTCCGACCGCAACTCAGACACTTGGAGCACGCACTATGCAAGGTCAACTTAATTAGATAAGGACATGCATGGTGAGAGAAGGCTGTCAGTGTGCTGAATGCCTCGGCAGCTTGGACCCCAGACTCTGGCTTTTAAAGAGGAATCTCAGAACTTTCCCCAGTTTTGTTGGAAACTCCCTTCAGCATCCAGGAGGATGGATGTCAGCTCCATACACGAGAGGGTTTTCTGACATTTGGAGCTGTCAGGAGTAGAATACAGTGCCTGAGATGTAATGAGCTCTCCATCATTTAGGGTATGCCCTTTCTCCTAGACTCACACTGTACAATACTGCAACCACTAGCCACATGTGGCTATTTACATTTGAATCAAGTAAAATGTATAATTCAGTTCCTCGGGTCCACAGCAGCCACAGCTCAAGTGGTCAACCAGTAGACTTGTGGGCCTGGCGGCCACCCTACCACACCAGACAGATGCAGAATATCCCCATCACCTGGCACAGGCATTTCCACTGAGCTGGGCTGTCTTGGACTTGGGAGTCTGTTGAGATCCTGAGGTAGAAGCCAGGGACATAGAAATCTCAACAGCCTTTTTTTTTTTTTTTTTTTTTTTTAGATAGTAAAAGACTTAAAAATGAACAAGGGCTTTTTGGATGGTTATTGACAGAGTAAGAGGTAGGGAGGCAGGCCAGAGAATGGAAATAAAATTTATTTGCTCTTTGTTATGCACCAGTCTCTGCTTTTATCAACCGACTCAATCTCCATACAGTGAAGGGAATGTTTGCTCATTCTATAGATGATGAAACTGAGGCCCAGACAAATTAAGTATCTTGCCATTCAGATAGGAATCTGAGCCTTGGGCTTTTGCCATCCCAACAGGGTGCCTTATAGACACCTACAGTGACTGAGGGGCACAGGGGCTGAGGGGGGGTGCCAGGATTGGGTTTGGGGCTAAAGCCAGGAACTGGAGGTTTGGAAGCAATGGGCTCTGCTCGACCCAGCCCCTCTCTCGTCTCTGACCTGCAGGTGACACCGTACAATCCACAGCAGATGGGACAGCAGATTTTCCGCTCTTCCTACACTCCCCTGCTGAGCTACATTCCCTTCATCCAGCCCAACTATCCATACCCCCAGAGGACACCTCCAAAGCTGTCCACCAATCCCCGAGACCCTTCCCCCATGGCAGGAGATGGGCCGCAGTACCTCGTCCCCCAGGCATACGGGTGAGTCCTCAACTCACACTGTAAGTCCACCCTGGACCCCGAAGTCTGCCGGGGAGGTAGGAGAGGGGAGCATGCCAGGTGGGCCTCACTGGTGCGTTCTCTGTGCGTATGTTCCGTGGCTGAGGGGTGGGAGGAGACCTGTGCCGGTCGGAGGCTCTGTGTGTCCAGAAGAGACCTGGTATGGAGGTGAGGCTGGCCCAGGGTTTGCTGGGCCCCTGTTGTAGGCCCACGATGGGGCTGGGGCCTCACAGTCTGGCTGCAGAAACGTAGGCACACTAGTTGGCCGTGGAGAGCAGGTACACTCTCTAGCAGGTGGCAGGTGATGGAGCATGAACCATCTGCCTTTGTCCGTTTGATTGGTTTACAACAGGACACGGCTGAGTAATCTTCTTACAGCTCCCTCCCCTGGCCCTTCTTACTGCACCCTGAGCTCCTTCCCAGGCTAATCTCTCCAACATCCCATTGACTTTGTAACAGGCCCTGAGGAAGGGGCTTCCTGGGCTTATCATGGCTGCTCATGCTTTCCCACCAAAGGGCCCCAAACAGCAGAGGATAGGGACTTCACAGCAAGCAGCCAACACAAACTCAGCATTTTAGCTGAAAATTCCACACAAATTTTACATGCTGGTCAGCCATAAATTAATGTTCCTTGTCTCGATAGAAGAGCACACGGTCGCTCATTCGCACCCACCCAATCTTCAGCTTGTATTCATGCTCCGAGAGGCAGGCCGCGTCCCTCCTGAAGACCTGAGCCTCACACACCCTGGGGAAGCTGTGCCCCAGTTTGAGGAACTGAGCTGATAGAGTGAGGGACAAATTCCCCAGCCTGACATGGATTCCCTTCCTGTCCACCTCCCCGTCACAGACCCTCATTGTGATGTCACCTAGGTCTCCTCAAACTCTCATCTTTTCAGTGTTTCCCCTGAATGCCTTGTAAGAGGATTACATGTTAAAAAAAGGTTTCCAGAGTCGGATCTGTTTGGGCAAAGCTGTGAGAAACAAAGATAAACAGGTTTCTTAACCACTGGAATTCTCAGACTATTTAATTTCTCAAAGTTGATAGAAAATGTTCACGGGGTTGATCGATAGTGTTATTTGAACATGAAATCCATGACCCCTTTTCTTTCCTTTTTTTCCTTTTCTTCCCTCCCCCTCCTTCCTTCTTTCTTTTCTCCTTCCCCCTCCTTTCTTCCCTTTTCCTGTACAGGTTATCAGGGTGCATTTCATCCAACCCCCCCGGAAAGCTCTGTGTTAGTTCATGTGGTTAATATGAATGTAGCCTGCGGGGACCCACAGATGCCTAGGACACAGTCATTCCCTTCAGAGACTGAGAGGGGATGAGATGTGGGCACAACCTTGTTCTGGGAGAAAGAATAGAGACGACAGAGAGCCTGGCTCCCAGGACCTCCCCCAGTCATCCCATCCCACAAACAGCAATATGTCCCCATCCCCCTAGCTCCAGAGCGAGCATGGCCCAAGTCAGAGGGAGCACCCCTGCTGGGTGGTGTGCAGGGGCTCTGCATGGCGGGGAGGTTTCAGGGAGCAGCGGCTGGAGGAGGGTCCATCCCTCAGATGGGAAAGTGTGCAGCACGCTTAAGGCCTGGGGAACAAAGGCATCTTCTGCTTGAAGTATTCGATTTATCCCCAGAAAAGGTGGAAAATAGGATTAGAAAGGGAGGTTGGGCTTGGATATTAAGGACTGACTGGTGGGCCTGGGATCCCATGCAGATGAGTGCAGCCTGGAGTGCATGGATGGGCTGGAGGGGAGGAAATAGGAGGCAAGACAGGGTGCAGCCTGGAGGGGACTGGAGGGTCTGTAGCAGAGGTTCTCACCTCCCTTGGGGGTGCGACTATACAAGACAGCAGTGGAATCAAGACCTGTCCCCAACAAGTCCCATTCCACAGCATGACACCGGGCCTGAGGGAGGCGAGACTGCAGAAGCCAGAACTGTTTGTGCCGGGGAGGGGGTGTGGACACAAGTCTCATCAGTCAGCAGGTGCGAAGCACTGGGGGGGGGCTGAGGGGGGGGGGGGGGAGGCACACCTGTCTCTGGCTGCCTGCAGAGGGGCAGGGAGAGGAAAAGCGTGGCAAAGGGCTGAGAAAGGAGCTGTTTGGGGAGTGGGAGAGAGCCTGGGGTCTACCGGAGACAAAATGGGCACAGGAGGTCAGTGACATGGGGGAGGAGTGGTCAGCAGGGTGGGCTTGTGGCCCAAGAGGTTGAGAAGGTCAGGAAATCAGAAAAGTGAGGCAAGGGGGGCGTTGCAGGCCATGTCCCCACAAAGGATTATTTGTTCTAGGCAGCGTTTCCTGAAGGGAAGGAACAAGGCAAAGAACTTCCTTCTCTCATTCCAGGGAAAGAAATACACAGTAAGGAAATAAACAAACCACACACATGTCAGGTGTGGGGGGTAAGGGAGTGAGAGAATGAAGGGATGTCTCCTGAGCTGAGATCTGAATGAAAGGAGACGACAGATTTGTGTGAGGAGCACTCTGGGCAGTGTCCCCGAGGTGGAGAATGTAGCCAGAGCACGGTGAGTAGGAGAGGGAGTGGGTGGAATTGAAATCAGAGAGGAAGCAGGGCCAAACTAGATAGGACCTGGTGGGCATGGTGAGGAGTTTTCTTTTAAGCACAGTGGGGAGCTATTATAGCTTTTACACTGCTGAGGACATGTTCTAATTCTTTGTCTAAAGAAGGTGACGTTGGCCAATGTACAGAGCCTGGACCACAGGGCAAGAGCTGATGCAGGGACGCAGGATAGGAGCCCTGACAGCTATGGGATAAAGAGGTGCTGGTGGAGGGCCCCCGGGGGGCACAGTCAGCCAAGCATCCAACTCTTGGTTTCAGCTCAGGTCTCAGGTCCTGATCTCAGGGTGGTGGGATTGAGCCCTGTGTTGAGTCCTGCATTAGGCTCCCTGTTTGGTGCAGAGTCTGCTTGTCCCTCTCCCTCCCCCTTTGCCCTTCTCCTCCTCCCCCTACTTCTCCCTAACAGAAACAAGTAAATAAATCTTAAAGAGGTGCTGGCGGAGACTGTGGGAAGGAGATAAGTGAAAAAATCTGGAGTATTTATTTTCTTGGTCAAATTGACAGGACTTGATGGTGGGAAAGGGAGAAAAGTCAAGCATGATTCTTCAATGTTTTATTTGAACAAGTGGCAATGCCAAATACTAAGGTCAAGGGCACCTAGGGACTCAGTTGGTTAAGAGTCTGCCTTCAGCTCAGGTCATGATCCTGGAGTCCAGGGTTTGAGCCCCGAGTCGGGCTCCCTGCTTGGCGCGGAGTCTGCTTCCCCCTCTGCCTCTAATCCCGCTTGTGCTCGCTCCTGCTCACTCTCTCGCTCACTCTCTCAAATAAATAAATAAACTCTTTAAAGTAAAAAAAAATAAACAAAATACTAAGGTCAAGATGACTAGCGAAGGGTCTGTTGATGGGGTTTGGTTTTGGATATGCAAAGTTGGAGATGCCCATTAAACATATGAGTGGGGTTGCTGCGAGGCAGGTGGATATGTGAGTCTGGGGCTCAGAGGAGAGGCTGGGGCTGGCAATGTACATTTGGGAGTCATTAGCATATAGATGATATTTAAAGGCACGGGATGGAATGAGATGGCCCAGGGAGCATGCGTGCTTGGAGAACAGATGAAGACCCAAGACTGAGCCCTGGGGCTCCTACATGTAGGGAGCTTGGGGAAATGTGGAGGACCCAGCACAGGATCCAAAAGGGAGTGTTAGTGAGGTGAGAGAAGAAATAGGCGAGTGTGGGGAGGGATCATAGAGCGATGTGGGCACCACTGGCTGCGACCCAGTGAGTATGGAGTACAGCAGTGGTGTCCAGGGTTCCCAGTTCTGTGGGTGGAGCAGGTCTAGCAGAGGCTGCACTGGGGAGGAAGCATGCAAGGGCACTGAGGGTGAGTGTAGCCTTGGAGACAAGCAGGATCAGGAGCAAAGAGCAAACCAAGAAACTAAACTATACGAAGAGGAGAGGAAGGAGCCTGTGGCTCTGAGGGAAGGGGGGGGGTCCCAAACCCGCCCCCCCGGCCCCCGCCGAATCAATTGTGTATATTCATGGGGCAGGATAATCATATGCAGTTTATCAGGCCAACCAGGCCAGTTTGCCATGCTCAAGTGAGTTCCAGCTTTTCCTCTTCCTCCAGGAAGCATTCCTTGATAACTCTAGTCCATGGAGTTGCCTCTCCTCCTGGCCCTCTAGTGGACATCCTGTCTAGACCATGCCCTTGGCAGGTGAACCCGTCAGGAATTCCCAACCTGAATGGCCTAGATGCGTGGGGCATGGCAATCAAATATGAGGTGTGTCTTGAGTAATTTGTTACCAAAAAGTATTAAATGCTGAAGTATGGGTTCTGGTTTTTATTTTGTAAATCAGACCCGAATCCAGGGTATCCCTGTATTAACATGACTTTCAATCAGTTCTTTTCCAATATGAGTTCCAGAAGAGGGAAGAAGAGATGGGATTACAGCCAGGATACTTGTTTACAAGGGACCTGCCTTGTGCCAGGTCCTGAGCTGGGCCCTGGGCATAAAGCGGCAAACAGTCCAGATAATGTCCCTACTCTCCTGGAATTTATTTAATGAGAAGGGAAGCAAATCAACCCAAAGCCTAGCTTGCCCATGACACTTAGAGTGAGCGACGGATACCATACCAGCTGAGGCATTACAAATTAATGCGGTGGTTTCCCTCCCTCACCCCCTCCCTTTTTTTGTTTCATTAATTCATGGAAGGGTGTGGTAAACATGAACATCTTCTGTAATATGCATCTGCCCAGCTGAAAAGGGGCTGAGAATCCCTGGATTAGACTAAATCTAGCCATTTGCCCTGTTGCAATTTGTGCTGAGCTCTGTTCCCATTCATTCAAAACATCCTAACAGATGGGTGAAGAAATTGCTGTAGGATCCCAGAAGTGTGAGTAAATGATTCCATCTGGAGAGGTCAGGGAAGAGGTCACAGAGGAGACGGCTTTTGAACTCTCTTTTGAAGTATGAACAGCAGTGGTGCCAGGGGTAAAAAGCAGAAGTGTACACATTTCTATGCTTAGAAGGTGAGGCTCAAATGCTCTCAGCTTTTCCTTCCTTGAGGATCTAAGCAAAGTTCCAGGCATGCAGTGATGTCTCAATGCTTATTCCTCGCACTGGTATTTAAATGGGGAACCTGACTTAGCTGATAAGGGGAGAGGGAGCCCTGGAATTGTCTAGACTCTGGGATCTCACACTGGGACATGGCCCTGGGTTCTGTGATGTTGTGGAATTCCTGAAAGACATACCTGGCCTTCCCAGGCAGGTAGAATGGCTTTAGGCCCATAGGTAAGGGGCTAAGATCCAGAGAGGCTCCCTGCTGTGTGGTCCTGGAGATGGAGAGAACACTGGGCCCGTAGAGGCAGTCCCTAAAGGCTGCCAAGGGCTCCTTTTCCTAAGGAAGTGACAGAAGAAGATCTTTATTGTCCTCCAATTGTATCATTTTAATATTTTATTTTTCCAGAGGCAAATCTTTTTTTATTATGCTAAAACATTTAGCCTCCACGCCTGTCATGATCTTTCTAGTCCGTGACAGCCACAAAATTAACATAGTACTTTCCCTAATATCTCTGCTAACATCAGGAGTTCCATCACAGCATCTGTCTTCTTTCTCTTCCAGGTTTGGCTCGACAGCTGGCGGGCCCGTGATGAACAGCCCATATTTTTCCTCCAGTGGGAATGGCATAAATTTTTAGATGATCTTCTCCCTCCTCCTACCTTAGCCCTTGGGTGAGGGCTAAGTGCTCTGGAACTCTGGATTCTGTAATAACGTGGCCTGAGGTTTGGAAAGCCAAGGTTCCAACCAGGTCACAGACAGAAAACAGCAAGACCAGACTCAACTATTGACCAACTTTCTCACACACACAGGCCCTCTCACACACACCACATGCTGCACACCTCACACGCACCTCCCTCATAGACATACTCTCCTGCTCAACCACATATGCACCTGTAGTTAGCTGACATGAGTGATTTTTGTTTTTGTTGTTGTTGGTAAAGTAGAAGTAAGACACTTAATTTTAGAAAGTTTGTATTTTATGATAAAAGTGTGAGCTGCTTGAAATGGAGTGTGCCTGCTTATTTTTGTCATGCTCTGTGTCATCTTCACTGCTCATTTCCCCTATGCATGAGATACAGCATTGTGTCTCATGTTGATGGGAGACAACAGGCTGGAGTCCTCAAGCAGTGCTGCATAAATACGGGACCCTAGGGGTCATAAATGTAAGGGCTAACCTCTTTTCTTTTGTCACCTGCTCACTTCTCAGCATCCCAGTTCCTGTATCACAGGAGTGGACATAAAAGGAAAGCACCCTCCTTGGGGGCTGCTTTATAGGGAAAAAAAATCTCTCTTGGACACAAGTTGGGAAAATGTGACCTGGGAATCAATTCCAAAAACAATCTGGAATGGGGTAGACTATATCCAAAGATTATATATCAATGCCAAGCTCCAGGCCAATCTCAAAACTGTGAGTGATAACACTGCCCTTGGATCTATCTCAACCAACTTTTATCAGTGACTTGAATAAGGCTGTTGAAAGCATCCTGACCACATGTGTGGAGGACACAAATCTGGGGGGAGGAGATTTTATCAACTGGTAATAGCATGTGGTAAGCTCTCTTACACCCATGGCAGGCGTCACTAAGCTGCGGTTCCCTGAGCCTGTACAAAGCCATAGAATTGTTCTCTCCATGGTGGTCCAGGCAGCCATCACTGATCCGGGATGGTCTGTGACATGAAACCCATGTGTCAGCCTTTGACAGATTCTAACAAGATGAAACTAAACAGCAAGTTAATGTAAGACCTACTCTTGGGTCAAAAAAATAAGTTATGCACATAAAAGATGGACTAACACTATCAGTTCTAAGTTGCTCTATTACCAATCCTATTAGTTATCTGAAAGCTCAACCCCACCCTGACTAGTCCAGTCCTGATACCAATGACAGCCTGGAGTCTAGAAATCACTGATGTCTCAGGACCAGCTTTAGTCCTGTGCCCACAGGAGCATTTCTCCTGCCCTCACAGTATGACACCATTGGCCTCACTGATCTTTCCTTCTGGGAACCTGGAAATCAATTTCTCCTCCAAATTCTCTTAGGACTTAGGCCCTCTCTCTTTCTCCGTGGTCTGAGTCAGGGATTCTCCCCAAATTCTTTAGCCCCTGCCCCCAAGGCTATACCCAATTTCTAGTATATTTTATTTATTTTTGATTTCCTTGGCCAAGAGTCTAGATTCTCCATGGTCTCTGGGAGAGCCATTAATCACCTAGGAATTCTGACAAATTCAAGAGCCCTTTTCTTTCCTGAAAGCCTTCCTCATATTGTCTCTCCAGGTATTAGCCACAGGCTGGACCATAGTTTACTACCCTCTCTTGATCTCAGACTGTTTGGAGGCAGGAGGGAGTAAGAGAAAAAGCATTAACTTGCCCTTGGCAAGACCTGGGTTCTAAGCCACATTCTAATGTTGACCTTGAGCAGAGAATTCAATCTCGCTAAGCCTCAGCTTTATTAATGACAATGTTAATAGTTGTGGGGATTAAAAGATAATGTAGACTTAATATAGATTTAATGTCTACTTAATTCAGACTTGTGGTTTTACAATGGTGAAGATGTTTCTGTCCCTCTTCTCTTGAAATTGCCCCCCAAATAGGAGAGAGAGCAAAAAAACCTATACAAACTCCATTCTCAGTGAAACTAGGAGAAGCCAACAATCCCATCCACTATCTACAAAGTTGGAAATGGGATAGGAGAATGGTAAACACCTCAGTGGAGCAAGGGAAGATCGTGTTGAGATGCCTGCTGAAGGAGACAAGAAGCAAACAATTCCTCCTGTAGAGTCCTGAAGGTCTCAGGAGGTGCTGGGTGCTGGACACCATGGAAGGAAGTGGGGCTGGAGAGGGATGAAAGTGAGGAGGTGATGTAGGAGGTAGCCTCTATCCCAGCCTCACAAAGCCAGGGGCCATGGACAGTTATGTAGAAGACTGAGGCATTTTCTCTGGGGAAACTTGGAGACCATACATAAGGATTGTGGAGCTGAGAGTCCAGATGGAAAATAGTTAATAGGAATGGACAATCTCCAACAAGAAAGAAATGAATCAAAACACAGGTAAAGTGAAACCAAAAAGAGAGAGACCATAATATTCTCAGGGAGATAAGATAGTACATTAAAAAAAAAAAGACAATATGCCATATACTTATTTTTAAAAATCAGAACAAGAAAGTGCTTTTGAAATTAAAACAGTGATAGTTGATGTTTTTTAGTGAAGAGAGTTGGAAGCTAACAACAGAAAGATCTCATGGAAAAAAGAACTAAAAAAAGACACAAGGATGGATTATAGGAGATAAAACATGGGAAAATGAGAGGATCAGTCCAGGACACGAGATATCTGCCTAACAAGAGTTCTACGCAGAATAACGAAGATAGAGGGGAGGGTGGTACTAACAGAAAGACACAAGAAAATTTCCCAGATAAAATGGTCCAGACTGGCGCTGAGCAAAATGAATAAAAAAGAAATATCCCAAGTCATATCACTGTAAAATTTCAGAATACCAGTGATAAAGGCAGGATTGTAATAATTTCAGAAAAGCCCAATCACATACACATGTGCAAGAATCAGAATGGCATTGGATTCCTCAACAGTAGCATGGTGAACCTAGAAGATCCCAGGACAAAGTTGTCATCACTTTGATTGGAAATGATTTTTGACCTAGAATTTTAAAACTCAGTTTTTATCATACAGGTAGAAAGGAGTTGGTTTTAGACATGCAAAGTCTCAAAAATATTACCTCTTTCCACACTTGTCAATAAATTAAGGGAGGATGTGCTCCACTAGACAAGTGGGTAAGCCAAAAAAGAGGATCCAGAATCTGGGAAGCAGGTAGCCAATGGAATGTGAGCAGGAGGGAGGCTAAGGAGGCATCTGAGGTGGTGAGAGAGGAAGGTCTCAGCTAAGAACCATGCAGCAGAGCCTGGGAAACCACCGCTACCTGTCCAGACAGCAGCAGGAAGCTGGAGACCTCTAAGAGAGGAGGTATGTCCATGAGGGGTCTGAGGGGCTGGGGAAAAAGAGAACACCAGATTATCCTGACAGAGTTGACCATGTGGAACATTATACTGAGAATTGTTTTATAGCGGTTGGGGGGCTGGGGTGGGGAGACTTAGCTGTAGAGTGAAAAATGAAACAATTTTAACTTGGGAGTGGACAATATTTATGTGGTCATAATAATAAAAAGCTCAATTATAGACTTCACCAAAAATTGTGTTATAACTGTAGTGGAAGGATGGAGGAGAAAAGAGAAGTGTGAATAAAGCTAAAATCCTCACTTAACCATAAGAGGAAGTCACTATGTAATACCTAAAATGGATGATTCCAGAGAGTAGAATTCCCATAATTATCTAGAAATGTGGAGGAAAATCCCAAAATGAAGTCTCAGCCTTGAAACTCCAGGACTTCAGGTTCCCCAAGGCTCCCTCGTGGGGAAGGCACCCCATGGTGCCTTTGTGTTATTCATTCCTCTGTATGACAAGATTTCCATTTGGCACCAACCCCACATCTCCCCCTTCTTCCTTAGTAATAGAATATCTCTTTTCAGATTAGCACATGGCCACCCAGAATATGTGACTTCGTTCTAGCCAAAGGAGATGTAGGCAAAGTGTTTTGTGTGATTTCTGGAGGTCAAAGCTATAGGATGAAGTGGGTAGGTAGAGCAAGAAGATGGAAGGAGAGAGCCTTTAATAGTGGAGGTGCCAGGCCAGCCCTGGCATGAGACACGCCATGTGAGAGGAAAATGCTTATGTGAGACGAAAATGAACACCTTTTAAAAACCACCATTATTTAGGTTTCTTTCCTACATAGCCAAACCTAAACCTAATTCACATACTAAAAAACCACCATTATTTAGGTTTCTTTTCTACATAGCCAAACCTAATCCTAATTCACATACTCAAAAATGAAGTAACACCATTTCTTCAAAAGGGATTTTTTTTTGTCCTACTATTAAGTGTTTTTGAGTTCAGTTAATGTCAACTTTCCACCCATCTACCCACCCATCTATTCCCCATCCATCCATCCATCCATCTATCCATCCATTTACTCAATCACCACTTAGAATTTATTGACTACCTCCCTAGTACATTGGGCATGATCCAGGTGCTGAGATACGTAGTTGGACAATCATATTCTCTGCCATCACAGAGCTAGCTGGCTATAAAGAAAGAAAAATTTCCATCAAGAAGGTTTTCCTTGTCACAGTCATACAACCTAGCAGTTCCCAGAAAGAGGAGAAAATTGACTTAGTGTGGTCAGTCTCATACATGAAATGTATTCACCAGTTGTTCCACTTTACAAGGAGAAAACCAGGCCTAGAGAATGCAAAAGTAGTTGATGTACATTTTAGGGGATTGCATCTTTTTATCAAATGAATGAGACCAAATTTTCACCATCAAGTTAGGGCCCAGCCCAGACAGGAGACAGACACACTTCAGGTATATATTTTTTTAAAGATTTTATTTATTTATTTGACAGACACAGATCACAAGTAGGCAGAGAGGCAGGCAGAGAGAGAGAGAGAGGAGAAAGCAGGTTCCCTGCCGAGCAGAGAGCCCGATGTGGGGCTCGATCCCAGGACCCCAGGACCATGACCTGAGCCGAAGGCAGAGGCTTTAACCCACTGAGCCACCCAGGTGCCCTGACACTTC